AAGGTGCACTTTGCAGTGAGACAGGTAACTCCAATTTTGTTTGCATTTCTGATCTCTCTGAAACCAAAAGAGCTGCGTGACAAAATCAGAACATTTTGGAAAAGTCAATATTTGAGTTTTGCTGAAGATGGCCGGTGCATTACTGCATGAAAGCAAGTGCAGGCAACCAGAAGTTTGCTATGCTTCAGCAGGGGGGAATCTTCAGATCAGAAAAAGAAGGGCAAAATCCCCTCCCCCCCCCCCCCACCGCCACGTCCAGGTTAGTCCCCTCACAGTATTGTATAAGGGAGTATAACATTGGCAGTTTCATTTTCAGTTCTCAATTCCGACTAACATGGTGTTTGCCTTTTCCAGAGCAGCCGCTGGCATTTCCGCTTTGCTGTCCGCCACAAGCGCCAGGTCAGCCCCCCCCGCAGGCTCAAATCACACTCGGCCCGATGCAGGCCTCTTTCCCCTGGCTTACGTTGAACCAGTGGGAGCGGTGGGGAAGCGCGCAGATCTGGGCTCTGGTCCCCACTTAGCCGTGCCCGTCCCTGGCCGACTTGGGCCAGTCACAGGCTCTCCGCCCACCCGACCTCACAGGGTCATTGTTGTGGAGATAAGAGGGAGAGGAGGCTGAGAATGAGGAAAGCTGCCTTGAGTTCCTTGAAAGGAAGATACGCGGGATGTAAGTATAGTAAAAGTAGATTTAAACTTGCACTTACTACTCCATTTAAAGAAATCCTTCAGGAGATCCTTCAGGAAGACACCCAGTTAGGGCTGGCTGAATTAGCATAGGGATGTTGCGTGCAAATATGTCTTGTCTGCTTAGTGAAATACCCTATCTGGACCGCAGCTGCTTCCTGGCTGGAGAACCAAATTTCTGACCCATGTGGCTCACCATTTATCTCGTCTAAGTTTTGCCTTTTATGGTGGCATTTCTTGTCTTTTGTGACAAGCACACCTTTTATCTGCTATTGATCGTACAAGGCTATGAGCGATATTGCACTCTCTCCTCCTCCTCCCTCCATCTCTGTTCGTCCGTCTGTCTGTCTTTCTTTCTCTTCTTCATTTTATTTCTATACTGCCCAATAGCCAAACCTCTCTGGGCAGTTCACAACACATAAAATGCAACACCAATACTATACGTGTGTGTGTGTGTGTGTGTGTGTGTGTGTGTAGTATATAAATGTAACACCAATTCTATCCATCCATCCATCCATCCATCCATCCATCAATATGTTTATTCCAGTCATATAGCATAAACCAATTGGTCTACAGCATAAACCAATGTAAGCCAGCATAACGGATGAAACAATGCTTTTCCATTACCCCAATTAAAATGACATTTTAAAACAAACTTAAAGACAAAAAGGTAAGTAATGGACACTAGAAATTAAAATAACCTAGGCCACATAACTAAAACACATAATGCAACAAACATGTACACAATGGTGATACTAACAGAATCTTTGCTGAAATTCACTACAGTTCAATTGTATAAAATGTATAGATTTGTGACTAAATATCATAAGCTTTTCTTAACCTGAGTATTGCCCTGCAGAAACTGGCTACCTGATATATAATCTTAGCATCTTTATCTGAGAGAAGAAAGTCAAGTTTGGCTTTTTCGGAAGGAATCCGATTATCCCAAAAGAGTGGGATAATGAGCTCATTACCTGCCTGTTCGTAATATGGGCATGGAAAAACATAGGCTCCGAGGTCTCCGCCTACCTCATCTGGCAAGTACGAAGCCTTCCAGCAAAGGGGACACCCTCGTCCTTGCCTTCGGGAATGGCGGCAGGAAGTGCAAGGCACCTGGAAAGAGGAAAGCCCTTCGCGTCCCTTTTGCTGGTTCTGCACAATATGTAATGCCTACGCAAACCTTTATATTTGGTAAGCTGGTGTGATCAGTGTGACATTCCATATCCTCGATTCTCTGTTTGACTAATTCTCTTTGCATGATCTAATTCACAAGAGAGAAGCATTTACGGGGGGGGGGGGGCAATTCTTTGCAGATGATTCTGAACAGCCTTCAGCCACTTGACTGAAAGCCTTACATATGTAGGTAAAACAGACCTGAGCTTTAGCTTTCATACAGCCTGTCGCCCGTCTTACCCTCGCGATGGACACATGCCCAGGGACCTGCACCGTGGCTCTCAGAGGCCTAAATTGGACTCTGCCATGGAGCAAGCACAAGCTGGGTTGTCCTGTAAAGGAACCATAAAGCTACTGGGCCAATATTTCTGCTTTATAAATTTTAAGAGTTGCAGGGACAAAAAGCCCCTTTGTGCTCTGTGAAATTTCGCAAAGCTGTTTGCAGATCTTTCTCCTTTGTCTGCAGAGGAATTAATGTGCTGGAGCCTAAACACACACACACACACAAATAAAAATATAATAACAATTGCAATACAAATTTGTAAAAGCCACATTTAAGACAAAATTTTAAAAGATGCAATAGTTTATTCAAATGACATCCTAAGACTTTTTAAAGCAACCAACATAATGACCCAATGCACTATTAAATCTAAGTAAATGCCCAATGATAGAGGATAGCCTTAACCTGGTGCCAGCCATTCAAAGGAGCTGAGGCCAGGTAGGCCCCAGAGGGGAACTTGTTCCATACCTGGGGTGCCACCACAGGGAAGGCCCTTCCTGTTGCCAGCCACTGACCCTTCGTTGGAAGTCACAATTGGAGACCCTCACTGTAGCTCAGCCTAGGGAAACTGCAGTAGAATTGTGGAAAAACCCAAATAAAATTGCTACTATCACTGATTAGGATTTTAATAGACTCAGGCCTAAAAGCCAACCACAGTCTGAAGCATCCACAAAAGCTTTTATTTATAGATTACACTCATAGAGTGCCTAGTAACCAGAGTGGTATGGGCAGTGTACAGATGATAAAATGCAAAATTACATGCTTGCAAGAAAAAAGTCCCAAGTGAGCTTTCTGTGGGATTTTTTCCATAACAGTGACTCATATATCTAGTTGCATCATTACTAGTCAGGAGGCCTTGGAAAAACTGCTTTATACAGGTCAGTCGTTAGGAAAAATAAACTTGTTTCTCTCCATTTAGTGAAGGGCACCAGAGGGCAACAGAGCTTTTCACATCGTTTCCACAACTGAAGAAGACAAATGCAAGGAAGCCATCACAAATGTTTCTGTTCCCTGCCTTGCACAGACTGGTTTTATGGCCAAGCCAAAGGGGGTTCATGTGATTTTTGCCAGTGTTTCTGCAGGAGCGTAGAACAGAGGCACGCGAGCGTTGGATTCCAACTTGCAAATCAGGCAGCTTGTCTTGCTTGCAAGCCCACAGGAGACTGCAGACGGGAGCACAGCTTTTTGTGAAGTGTTTGCATGTTCCTCAACTTGTGATTACATTTGGAAAAGCTGCGCTTTTAAAAAACGGATCCCTTATTCCCTGGGCTGCAGCTTGCCCCAGTATTAGAGACCCTCTATTTCTTTGGAGTTTGTCATTTTCAGAGGAAAACACTTTGTCTGACAGAAAATGTCCCGTTCCAGTCCACTTTAATTCACTCCCAGCAAGTGCTGCAATGCTGAGCTATTCCATTTGTGGCTTTGCAGTTTCTAGTTTGCACTCCTCCTTTTCCATGTTCCAATTGTCTCTGCATTGTGCAGCCTCAGACTTTCCTTCCGCCTCTATGCATGCCAGCCACTGGACTTCCTTTCAGATTAGATCTACTTGCGTCATTGGCAACAGAGCTATTCATACTCGTCCTTCACTTTTCCCCAGTGGCTGGTTGCATGCCTTCTGAGCTGGGTAGTTCATCTTCTGCAATATCCCTTGATTCATTTCGGATTGTTTCATCATGGGACTTTCGAGGTAAAAAGATTCAGAAGTGGCTCACCATTGCCTTCTTCTGCACAGTACTGAAAGTAAGGCTGAACACTGCTGATGCTTTCCTGAAAGATGCTCCACCAGTGTCACCTTCATCCACCACCACTGCCCAGCGGCTGCCCTGCAGGAGTTTCTCCACTCCCATCACCACGACCAAGATCCAGTCTCTTCTGCCGATGTGACTCTGACTCCTTAAGAGCAGGGATGCTTCTTGATCTGGTGTCTCCTCTTTGACCATTCCCCCTGCGGTGACCCTGCTAGGAGACCAGCCCAGTGAGACAACCTGGCCTCCTGGCAGCATCACTCTCAGCTTCTCTGGCACTCCCAACCTCCCTTACCACATTAAAGTGGGCATCCAAGAGGGAGGCGCCTGGAAAATACCTGCAGGATTAGCCTTGGACCTGCAAAACTAGGGCCAGTGCAAGCATGTGGACTCACAGAGAGCCACAGGAGGCCCTGCCAAAGTCTTTCCCAGTCTTGCGCAGGTTTACCACACCAAAAGACACCATGTGTCTTCGTGGTGACTGCTTCGTGTTCCTCGTTTGGCTTTGTCTCCAGGTGTGCAACGTCTTCAGTCATATCTTGACTCTTGCTGTTTCCTGCCAAGCATCATCTCCAGTCCTGCCGTGGCTTTACCAGAAGGGCTTCTACAGATAGTCAGACCTCATTTGGAATACTGTGTCCAGTTCTGGGCATCAAGATTTAAGAAAGATGCAGACAAACTAGAAAGAGGGCAACAAAAATGATTCAGAGTTTGGAAACGCTGCCCTGTGAGGAGAGACTGAGGGAACTGGCCATGTTCGGCCTTGAGAAGAGAAGACTGGGGGGTGGGGGGGACACATGATATCCCTCTAGAAGTACCTCAAAGGCTGTCACAAAGAGGAAGGTCAAGATCTCTTCTCTCTGATACCAGAGTGCAGGACATGGAATAATCAATTCAAGTTGTGACAAGCTTTTCCTGATGTCCATTCAGGCTGGACATCAGGAAAAGCTTCCTCACTGTCAGACCAACATGACAGAGGAACCAGCTGCCTGGAGGGGTGGGGGGCTCTCCCACAATGGAGACATTCAAGAAGAAACTGGGCAGCCCTCTGGGTGGGAGGGTGTGACTTGGTGTCCTGCAACAGCAGGGGGTTGGAGCCGATGGCCTTCATGGCCCCTTCCAACTCTACTATTCTATGATTCTAATTTTCTAACAGACCCCACCGTATGGAAAAGGTAAGAAAAAAGCAGGAGCCTTACCCTCAAATGGTTGGCCCAGGTGTCAAGAGGTTCTACCTCTCTCTGAAACTTTCTGAAAGATACTTGGTGGGTCTGAATGACCCCCTCACTCTTCCTGCTCTTTCCTAGGGGAGATTGCGAGGAACGCAGAGGGGCAGAGGAGGCATAACAGCTGCTGGGGTGCCCAACTGGAACGTTGGGCAGGTGCGACAGGCCCCCCTCGCTCAGCTGAGCTGTGTTGACACCCAGGTAGACCTAGGGGGAAGCACCTTCTCACCTGCAGCGCACGGTGGGGAGAACCTCAAGTGGCAGGTGGGGACGGGCAAAGGGGAAGCCGGATGCATCCCCCACATCTCTGCACCCTCACAGATCCATTGGAACATTAGCAGACCAGGGTAGCCAGCCGTGTTGCCTCCACTTGGCCCTTCCCTGCCCCGCTCAGCCCTTGTCTGCCCCCAGCGCTTCCAGGTGCCCTGCTGCCTGGGGGAACGCAGCTGCAGAGGCTGCCGTGGGCGAGCCCTTTCCTTGGTGAGCAGAAAGTAATGCAGATAGTGCCTTCCTGCTAATACCTAGTCTGCTTCCGTGCCTCCAGTGAGGGAAGTGCTGAGGATGGCAACAGGGAAGGGGGCCTTCTCAGGGCTGCCTCTAGCTCCCTGACTGGGGATCGTTTTCCCCAGTGAAATGAATCAGGTGCCCTCTCTTTGGTGCGAATTTAAAGACCACCTCTGACTCCCAGATCCTTGACGGCATCTAATGCTGCCTTTCAGCAGGTCCTGAAATGCTCATTGTCGATGGTTTAAAATGGTTTTCATAGTTCTGCGTGTCCGTGGTTTTCTGCTATGACATCTGCTATCTTTTAAAGGATTTTCGCCTTTGCCCAGAGAGCTTTAGCTATAAAATACATTTTTAAAAAAAGAAAAGGGAAGGGAAGGGAAGAAATGTTCAGGCTGAACAGATGGAAAACACACACACACACACACACACACACACCATCAGACTATGGTCCTGGTAAAATTGTGTCCATCCCTAGCCCGTGACAGTTTCTTAGACCAAAAATCAATTGTAGTAACCTCTATCAGTCATCTTCCTCCTGTTGATTTCTCCCTCGCTTCCCGTTTGCTCTCCATGCAGAGCTGGTTTTGGACGCTCGGCGTGGTGGGAAGGCCTCCCTGATTGTGGTCCTTTCCCACTGCTCTGCCCCCCACCCAGGGACGCGCCCGCTCGTTCCGCCCATTCTGTTGCATCACTTCTCCCGTCCCCACCCATGGGAAGGTGGGGCTCCAAACCACAGCAGAAGCCCCTGTGTGTGGGGAAGTCTGCCCACTGCACAACTTCCCCTTCCAGGCGATGGAGTGTGTGATGGGTGCCCAGTGAAGGGAGTGGGACAACAGGCTCATCCTCAGTGCAGGGTGTGGTCTGGGGAGAAGGCAGCGAAAGCTCTGGCACCCCTGAGCTGGTGCTTGTCCTTGGAAGCCACGCTGTGGCCCAGGGGTTCCTGCATGTGCCTCAGGCTGTTCACTGAACAGGATCCATGACTCTTCATGGTTTGTTGTTTTGGTCCTCACCAAAAGCCAGTGACAGGCAAGATTGTCCTAAGGGCTTCACTGCAACCTTGGCGTCCTACAAAGAGGTCCTGGAAAACAGTGGGGAGAAAAGTTCTGCTCTCTACATAATTCAGGATTCCTCACTTTTGACTGAAGAGTGAATCTGGCTGGTTTACGCAACTAAGTTCACTTTCAGAAGAACATCAGGTGATCTTCCCGGCTGGGCCAGACAAGGGAGATCTGAAGCACATCAAAGCCTTTTTCTCAGAGAGCAGCTTGCCCCCAAGTGGCTTATTCAGAGGGCAAGTAACAGCGGAGCCCTAGTCATGTCTGCCCAGAAGGAAGTCTCACGAAGTTCAGCGGGAACTACTTCTGCCCAGGTGAAAGTAGCTAAGATCACAGCCTAAGGCAGGAGTAAGTCTACTTGAACTTGACAGCAGAGACACGCATCAGATTGAGCTGCTGCTGAGGTATGTGAGAGCAGCCCCTTTGGTGAGCATCCTCTGGCTGCCAGGCGCTTGGCGTTTCTTCGCGCACAGAGATGAAGGAGAAGACAAGAACGCTTCTACATGGAGTCTTACGCTCCATGCCGGAGGTCCACAGGAAGGCTGGGCCAGGTCATTGTTGGTGCCCCGAAATGATCTCAGCACAGTGTAAAGTACACCACAGTGATAACTACTAGGCTGTTTGCCATCCCCCCGGAAAGCAGCCTTTCAGAATTGTTTGTCGGACGAACGGGGGGCCGCAGCTCCAAGCGACAGGCGTGCCTGACTGTTTCCGGAGGTATTTCCACTTCGCTTGCGTTCTGCAACAGACTCTCATTCCGCACCTGGAAGAATTAAATTCCGATCATCTAAACCAGATAATCAGGCCTTGCTATCCTTCCACAAATGTATGAAGGTGCTCTTTTTTTTTATTGGCCAGTACGACCCATTTAGCCATGCCGTCCTCAGCCCAGTGCTCTTGAGGTACGTTGGGCGACATCCTTACCCAGCAGGGCCAATAGGTGTTTTGGGTGACATGTCTGGAGGGCACTATGTTGGGGATAGCTGATCTATCCTCCAGCTGGGCCTGACCTACTAGATATTGTTGGATTGCAGCACCCATCAGCCCTGGCCAGCACTCCCCGTGGGCAGGGCTGGCTACACGTGAGTCCAACGGCATCTGGAGTGGCATCGCTTCTCCGCCCGTGATCAGGCTGTCTTGTTTAATCTTACGTGGGCAATGGCTTCCTAGGGCAGGGGTCCCCAGCTTTTGGAGACCCATGGGGCACACCTGGGAATCTGAGACATTGCTGTGCACTTCACCACAAAAGGGCTGATCATCACATTGATGCCTCCCTATTACATTTGCGGATCTTAGGCTGTGATTTGTTCAGTAAAAAATTATTTACCAGCTCCACTTAAGAAATGGTCAGCATGAATGGATTCTATACACTCTTTTGACAGCTAAAACACTGATTCAGATCCAGTTCATGGTCTATAACAATTCAGAAATCCTTCTCAGATGTAGTATTGTTGAGCCAGGTATTCCCCCATCTTGCAACAATACATTTGGTTTCTTTTTCTGGGTGCAGAATTTGGCATTTGCCTCTATGAAATCTCATTGGGTTGTCTTCAGCCCCGCACAGCAACCTATCAAGATTACTTACAGCTTTGTTTCTCGCTTCCAGGGCGTGAGCTACTTAGCTATCCCACCCAATTCTGCACCATCTGCAAGTCTGAAAGACTTTCTCTGCACCGCCTCATCCAGACCATTAATGAAAACGTTGAAGAGCCCTGGGCCCAGGACTGAACCTTGGTGCCCCCGCTCATTGCCTCTTCCCAGTCTGAGAAGGTGCCATTGATAAATTCCGTACCCAACTGTGGATCCAATGTGTGGATGTTCCATCGAGCCCATTTTAGGTAGTTTGCTCTGGGATATCAGTGGGCACTTTGCGAAAAGCTTCGCTGAAGGCCAGGTAGACTCTGCCCACAGCCCACCAGAGAGCTTGCCCAATCAAACAACAAGATCCATTTAGTCTGCCAAGATTTGTGCTTTACAAACCAATGCTGACTCTGAACAAACTCACAAAGTGTTCCTATCGGGATGAATAACATGCTGAACTTGAGTGTTCAAGTGCATCACTGAGCCAGCAAACATAGAAACAGAATGAGTCAGAAGGGGGGCTCCTAGGCCATCTAGTCTGACCCCCAGCTCTAGCCAGCTTCACTCACAACATGCTTACCACGTGCATGTTTAGCAAGAAGTGCCTTTATAAATCTGAGCATATGCCCCTTCCTTTAAAAAAATCTACAACTGCCCACAAAAGTATTTTTTTTTCTTCATCTCAGCTATATGCCCTCAGTCCCTTATACTCTTAGGAATTTCTGGGCAGAATACCAATGTGGCCTCGCCCCGATCTGCACATCTGGGAACAAAAAGGAATTCTTTCTGGTGGGTTTCCTAAAACACCTATAGAAAATATAACTATGCTTGCAGTAGATTCAGGGGTGGGAGAAGTCAGAGAAAATTTATGGGGATGGTCCTGGCTACAGGCTCGCATTAGGTGACACATGTCATCCCCCCCCCCAATGTTTTAGATTAGGGTTGAAATTAGCCTGACCCCCTGCTACGTCGCCCAACTTCAGCAACCAAGCAATGCTATAATTAAAGGGTGACTAGCATAGCTCCAAATGCGTTTTTTAAAAAAATTACCTTTTCCACCTCCCGGAAGACACGAAGGAAGTTTTCTCTCAGGATGCCTTTCAGTTCTTCCTCACTCCAACCTCTCCGCAGCAGTTCTGCAATCAAGGCTGGGTATTTAGAAACATCCTCCAGTCCTTCGGGGAATCTGTTAGCAAAGAAAACTCAGAATGACGCGGCACAAGCGGAGCACTTTGCTCGGCAAAGAAACAGTGAGGGAAGGCAGTTAACCACGGCAGTGCTCCGATGACGGGGCGGTCTCGTCCACCACTTCCCTGAGTGGAATCTAACGCAAGTGGGCAAACTGGGGAAACGGCACCTATTCACTTCCCCTCCTTGGGAGGGCAAAATATTTATTTGAACAGAATAATTCAGAGGTTGAGCTCCAGTTCAGCTGAGATGCTGGTCCGAAAGATGGCCATGCTCACCAGTTTTGGGCTTTCCCGGGAGTCCCTCGACTCCGGCAGCAAAGGACGCATTGCACTCTGCAAGGCAAGCAGCGGTGCCCCCTTTGCCCCCTCGCTGTGCACGTGGCCGCAGGACTCTTTCCCGCCTGAGCCTCCTGCTCCTGCACCGAGATCTGCGTAATGGAGTCCAGCAGCAGCCGAGTGAGCCAGCCGGCCTTGTGATGCCTGCGGCACACTCATCCTGGGCTGGTTACCTCCTAGCTCGCTCGCTCACTCGCTCGCTCGCTCGGCCATGCACTTTTTCCAGTGGTGTCTCTGGATGCAGAGCAGACATGAAGGGTCAGCACGGTTGGGCCCCTGCCAAGGCCCTGCACCTCAGCACAGGTCCACTGACAGAAGAGTCACACTTCCTCATGCGCCTCTTGTGCACTTGCCTCTCGCTCGGTAGCGAGAGATGCCGCTGCGCAGGGGGGCAAGGAGGAAATGGCAGCAAAGGGGAGACAAGGAGAGGAGCCACTGGAGCTGGGACAATGACAGTGGGAGGGTCGGTGGGCCCGGCTGGCTTGCCCAAGGGCCTTCCCACCCTGGAACCAGATGCGGTGGGAAACGTCCCCCGGGCATGTCAGCCCGGTTCTTCTGGTCATCAGCAAAGAGCCAGGCCAGGATCAGGAGAAAGATGAACGACCAAAAGGCCAGGAAGGATGGGTGGGCAGGGCCGTGCTGCTCACCGCCTCCCCAGCAGCCGCCACATGCTGCCTCATAGTGGGGGGTGGGGGGGCTGTCTCGGAGAACGATAGGAAATGCTTGGCTAGCAGACGTGGTCAAGTCTCCCTCAGCTCTTGGCAGTCCTGGTCTGATGTCTTGGTTATTTCACTGAGCACTGAAGAAGCAGCTTTCCAATAATGTGGCAGGAATATATGAACTGGAGGGCACTGCAGACTAGTGGCGAGAAACCAGCAGGCCAAAAGGGTCCCCAGGCGAATCCACCAATAAATGGGACAATTGAATGACTGGCAGCTGCCAGTGCAACGCTGGACCCTTAGTGGGCCTCTTGCCCAAGGAAGAAAACCAAGACTGAGCATGGAATTCACGCATCTTTGTAATGGGAAATGGGTTTAAGCCATCCAAAGCCATCTTCCCAAATCCCCAAAGCCGAAGGGCAAGATTTCCTGGCTGCAAGCACGATTCATTTTCTGCCTCATTCAATGCCCATGGAAGAGTTGAATGCCCTGCAATGGATCGAAAGGCTGGCCTAAGCACCATCCCTCGCAGGGTCCACAAGGTGATGCTCGCAGGGCCAGTTTTCCGTTCCTCGAGGGGGAGAATCCAAAGACACCGTTTTCAGCAGCATCTTGCTCTGCTGCAAGATGCACAGGGCTGTTTGAGAGCAAACGCACAGCAACAGAACAAAAATGGTTACTAACTGTTTTTCTCCATCGTAGTCACTGCCAATTCCTATCGAACTTGAACCTGCAATTTTCTTTATGTGGTCAAAGTGACCTAGGAATTTATATTTTCAACAGCAAAAGAGACAAACAGAAGTAAGATGACAAAGTATAAGTACAGATCAGGGAAAAGTGCAATGTCGATTAAAAAGACCGGCATACCCTCCTGCGGGGAAATCACTGCCATATTTCCAGTTCACGTCCAGTTGGAATACTGGTTTATTCCCCAACAAGTGATGATATGCTCTTTTTATTGACAACTCAACTGGAGACTCAAATAAAAAAATATATTTAAAAACCAGGGTCCAGGCTAAGCATTTGCTTAACACAAGTGTGCAGTTACATATCTGATCTTATTTTAATTAATCATATGTGTGGTAGAGGGAAGAAGAATCCTTATCAGGAATATAACAGGTTAATCAATAATAAATAAATAAAGGGAATTGATCTCTTCCCTTCCCAGTAGACCTTTATTTTTTTCCTGAAAGGGGAAAAGTTGCATTGATACCAATCTATGTATTGGGAAAGAAGGAACATGGGGAGAAGCAGGCTATATTTATTTTAAAATAAAGAGTGTGCGCCTGTGTATGTCTACTCACAAGTAACCCCATTAAGTTCAAGGGGGATTACTTCTGGGAAAGTGTATATTGGTGGAAATGTAGGAAATTGCTTTCTTGCTTTCCTTCACCATCCTACAGTGATTGCTACTTTATACAGTGGGCCTTAAGTAACTAATTAATGTTTTGTGGATACACACAATCTACCGTATTTTTCGCTCTATAAGACACACTCAAAAGTAAGGGGAAATGTGTGTGTGTCCGACGCCCGGGATGCTGCCGGCCGCCTGCACCACGTGGCACCACCTGGCCGGCACGCGCTCGGCGCGCCCTGCTCCGCCCCCCCCCCCCACCGGTGCAGGTGAGAGCTGTGCCGCTCAGGGGGAAGCGTGCGGAGGAGGAGGAGCTGCAGCCTTTAACCCACTGGCCCCACGGAGAGACGGACTGCTCACCCCCACTGCCCGGGAAGACCTGCCGCCGCCACGCCGCCCGGAAGACCACCGCTGGCACACTGCCGGCCCGGCTGCACCACACCTGGCCGGCACGCGCTCGGCGCGCCCTGCTCCGCCCCCCTCCTCCAGTGCTGGTGAGAGCTGTTAATCACAGGTCGGTGTGTGTTTTCAAATGGCAACCTGTCTTTTAATGAAGCCCGTGGGGAAGTGATGGGGAATGTGCCTGTGATTATCAGGAAGCTTTCCATGGATCCCTCCTCTAAAAACTAGATGCGTCTTATGGTCAGGTGCGTCTTACAAAGCGAAAAATACGGTACTTACAATTTCTACCTAATGATTATCTATGACTCTGGAGCTTCATGTAGGTGTACATGGCACATGTATATTTTTTGTTACGAGCCATACAAAATAAATTACTGGTGTTGGTACATAGAAAGCAACAATGCAAACCTGCAACAGTTGAAATGTTGACGGCTTGGTTTTTGCAGGCCAAAAACTTAGCTGGGAACGTCACCATTATAATCCCTCTATTCTGTTTCTGAAACAAAGGAAGGGGAATAAAGTGAGTGAGACAAGCGAGGCCTCGTTCCCCTGCCGGGTGGTGCGGAGGGAGAAGTAGTAGCAACAACACACACACACATTCCTTGAATGGAAGCATTTTGAAGGCCAATATCTACCTGAAATAAACTTCATCAAAAAATCAGCTCTCATTTCCTCCAGTTTGAATGAGAACACCAGTTGCATTTATATATATGTAGGGTTCAACTTTTCAAAAGGGTTCCACACCTTTATATTTTATAAATATATTTCATATATTTTTTCCTGATGGCATTAAAAAGTTGGTACGAAACTGGGGAAATTGCATCGCAAAGGAAGGTGACTATGTAGGAAAATGATGTAATTTGTTTTTTTAAATTCTTAATGAATAGAGTTTTTAAAAGTGCGGAAGCTTTTTGAAGAACCCACGTATATTTTAAAGTTCACAGTAAGTAGCTCACCATCGCAATGAGGTTTGTGTGATTATCCAGCAGTGTTTTGTGAATGACAGCTCTCTGTATTTTCTGCATAGCAATTCCCACTGACAACACAGTTCACGTCTCCTTCCCCTTCACCCCAAGCATGTGCATCTGCTGATCTGAGATTAATTCTTCACGCCTGTGATGAAGAGGCCCATGTCCACGGAAGAACAGCAACCGGGTTGAAGCGCAGCCTTGTGCTCCATGGCCGGCCCTGTGGCAGCAATGACTGCCTGCCGGAGATGCTGCGCCCAGGCGCTCATCGTCTTTCTTTCTGTTAAGCATGGAAGCGGCAGCAAGAGCGGGACAAAAGGCGGCGCAACAGGCGTGAGGGACCATGGCAGCCAGAAGGTGGATTCGTGGGGGGGTGGACAGGGGGGCCGGCCCGGGGGCCCTCCGAACGTGGAGGCAGATGCGGTGGGAAAAGAGGCCCAGGCGTGCCAGCCAGGCTGCCTGTGCTCTCCGCAAAGGAGCATCAGCAAATGGTTTCCCTGATGGTTGGAAACTGGTGACTCAGAAGCCCAAATGGATTCTCCACACTTTTGCCAGCTAAAATTTTGACACTGAAAATTGGATCAATGAACACTCCCTGTGATGCAACAGACTTGCAATCTTTTTAATGTCTCTTCAGTCCTCCCTGCACACTCTGCACGTCTCCTTTGGATCCCCTACATGCTTCATCAAACCGGACGCCTTGCAATAGCGGTGGGCGCTGCATTGGGAGTGCAGGCTATGCATGCCCTGTGCGGTCTCCAGAGTCCCCTGGGCAGGGGCAGCCAGGGACTGGACGGATTCTTCTCTCCAGGGAGAGCCTGGGACCAATCCTGCAGCTCCCAGGGCTGTTATTCCGGTGCTCGGCCAGCAGGTGGAGGCCTGCAACTGCCCTTAGCGGCCCTGGTTCCCCTTCTCAGCTCCATGCAGGCCTGGGACGTTCTTGGAAAACACTGGGCGGGCATTGTTCGAGCTGGGGCTTCCTTCTGGGGGGAGCCCAGTCGCCTTCCTCCAAGGGAAGAATAGGCGGGGAGAAGGAGGAGAGCTGCAAGAGGCCAGCGCAGGTCGTGGGAGGTGGTGTTGGGTCTGCGCTCAGGATGCGTGTCGTTGATCACGGTGTTCTGTTTGCATCAGCTGCACTGCTGTGTAGCTGATTCGGTAATGCTCTTACGCCATTCCTTACTGGGAAGTTTAGTGAAGGAACCTAACGGTTCCCTGCCGGCATTGGCCAGTCTGATGAGCCTGAAGCACAGTTCCCAGCGGTTTCCCTGCTCGGTGCTACAACCATTTTTAGTCTCTTATGACCTTCCTGCACAGTCTGCTTGTCTCCTTTCACTACCATAATAATCCATCAAACTGGACGCTGCCGTCTGTAATGCTATAGTAAACATTAGCTTTAGCGGGAAAGACTTGACTCATATTTTCCTTCTCAGGAGCATGCAGAGGTCTAATGATCATATCTTGGAAATGCCAAAAGGGGCCACTCCTTTCTGGCCCAAAGGACCGACAGTCTTTTTCATAATTAAGGCTAGACTTCCACACCTGCAAAAGGTTAAGCACACTCTCTTGCAATATCCAGCACTAATCAGACCTTTGATTTTAGCCTATGCCTCCTGCAAGGGGGGCTAATGATACCTTTAGATGCACAGGGCCCCCTGCTTTCATGCATTCCTTTTTATAGCCAGGAAAGTCAAGGGATACTTACTAGACTTCGCAGAATATCATCTGGAACATTCCTTGCATGGTTGCAGACGGAGAATGCTGAGGAATGGCTGAAAATGACCGGTGCTTTGGAGATGCTGAGAGCAGCCCTTGCCGTGGCATCCGAGGTGTGTGATAAGTCTATCATCATACCCAGGCGATTCATCTCCTTCACCACTTCCTAGCAAAACATGGGTGGATGATCTTGCCAAGTTATACTACGCACATGCACACACAACAGACAGCCAGGTGGTGCGGCGGTCAAGAGCGCAGGTCTGGGACTCAGGCTGCCTGGGTTCCAGTCCCTGCTCAGCCGTGGAGCCGGCTGGGTGGCTTGGGGCCGGTTGCCGACTCTCAGCCCCACCCACCTCACAGGGCTGTTGTGGGGGGGGTTCAGATGGAGAGCAGCAGGAGGAGAATGATGTGAGCCACTCTGAGTTCTTCCAAAAAGAAAAGGCAGGATATAAATCTAATACATAAATCATAAATACACTGTTGTGGTGCGTGTCTGCTTCCAAAGCAGGGCTCTTGCTCCGAATGACAGCTTTTCCCTGCTGTACAGGATTCCATCATCCCCCATCACTTTCTGTCCTTCATTTTCTATGAGTAACCAACATTCTGTGACTACTGAACCTGCTTGGTCATTGGTCTGAAGTCTGAGGTCTGTGTGCCTTTGTTTTGTAAAACAGCATTTTGCCATACTTTGGACACTCTGGGGTTGCCTGAGCACACAGAAACATGGAAAGAGAGCGAGTCGGAGGGGCTTCCCAGGCCATTCAGTCTGACCCCCGGCTCCAGCCGGCTCCGCTCACAACATGCCCACCATGTGCATGTCCAGCCTGTCCTTGAACACCCTTGCCGATAAGGCCTCAACCACCTCCCGGGGAAGCCCATTTCTGGTGTCATGTCACGATTAGTGTGTTAGAATGGGGCTTGGGAGATCCGGATTGTAGTACACACTTGGGCAGAGAACGCATGGATGACGTTGCACATTTATTGCTCAAGGGAATGGTTTGAGAACCCCTCCTGGACATGTCCACCCCCTGCCTGCCTTGTCCCTCTGATATGCACTGAAAGGCAGGAAGTGTGACATTGCATTTCAGATCAACTGTCAAACTTCCGACAGTGCCAAAGGTTTGAATAGTGGATGAAACTGAAAGTCAGTCATAGATCTGAGAGCTTTTCTGTGCACAGCTGCTAACGCCTGGACGAGCGAGTCCGGGGGCCCCAACATCATTAGGGTGGTGCATCCACTCCATGTTGTAGTCCGGGCTTCAGACTTTCAGCACCCCGGATTGCTCCTTTCTCACTGCCCTCGGACACCGGAGTCCACAGCCTCCACTGGCCCTGCATCCGCTTTCAGTCTTGGTGAAAAACTGAGACCAAAGCGCTACACAATGAATTTCTGGTGCATGACCTCGAGGTGGCGCTGCCCTGTAGCGGAATAGGACAATTATGCAAGTGCGGGAAAACTTATCAAGGATTCTGTGACTTTTTCACCCCTTCTCAAAACCTGCCTACTCCCAGAAAAGCGCTCCTTAAGAAGGGAAGTGAAACTGGAGGGTCAGAATGTTGTCAAAAGGACTATGAAGGATCATGACTAGACAGTGGGAAGTGCATTATATATGCCTTATGTGGATAAGTTTTAGGAACTAAGCTCTCAAAGTTGTTTGCCTGGACTGATTTTTTTTTAAAATCTCAGGTTCTTTCCCTCCTATTTATGCAAAAAACTGGGAAGTTCCTATATAAATTTTTGGTAAAATTTGATAAGTTCACATGTGCTCATTGATCAGGTCACACAGGTACATGTTGTAAGGACTTGTGAAGGAGGGTGGGACACTTCAATTCTACCCTGGGGACAATGGGGTCCTTCACATTAAGGGGGCCTCAGCTTGATTCTGGAAGGAACTTCTTAAACTAAAATCTTTTCAGAGATTGAAATGCATTATCAGATACCAGACTACCCTGAGCACCATTCATAGGGAGACCAGAGAATTTAGACCTGGCAGAGATCAAGGCATGGAAGATGCTGATCTTCGTGAGGTTTTGTCAGCAAGGGTCTCCTTAAATCCCAGCACTAGGCCCAGTGGAGCTCCTCTTCTGATGTTGATTGTGATGGAGCTTTCAGCCCCCAAGCGCAGAAAGCGCGGCAAGGGGCAACCCTGGCTGATTTGAGGGCTCATGCTGGGTGAGCGACCTGAGCCCTCTGGCTGCTGAGTGCTCTCTTGCTCCTTGCTTCCCAATGGCTCGGGCCCTGACCCATTGGAGCGCCACGACGCTTCATCTGGCTGCTGGGCTGCTTCTGCAGCGACTGCCCGCTTCGCCATGGAATCAGCCGCAGAGTCCAGCTGGGCAAGGCCCCCAGGACCCGAGATTCCAACTGCAATGCTGGCATCTAAATCACCCCTCCCTGATTTGGAGTCAGACCCAGATTCTTCTGTGCTAAGGCCATCTGCAGCACTTGCACCGGTCTCTAGGCATGCAACCCTATTTCCGAAGTGGGTTTTGCTCTCATTCCATTCAGCCTCAACTTCAGTTTACTGGGAGTTCCTTTTTACTCTTATGCAAATAGCTCTGGGTATTCACGACCTGAATACCTGCCTGAACGGGGAGTAAGGATAGGGAACAAGTGCTGCCAGATCCCATTGGACTTGTACTCCCATCTCCTCCCACCTTTGGTTAGGTAATCTGGGCAATAGGGTGACAATATTCATTTCTATTCAAAGCACATTTTGTCTGGGTTTTCATCAGTGGGTGTATTTTATTTAAAGGTAAGACCCCCCGATGGACCGTTGGCCTAATCAGAACAGAACGATTTGGTGGAATTTCACCACGGTAGGGGATGAAACGCATGCAGATAAAAGGACTTTCCCTTCAAATCCCGTCCTACTTAAGAGTCGAGATGATGAATCTTAGGAAATCATTTGCTACTCTTAATTCAAATGTTTATCTTACTTCTCCAAAAGTGCTCAAGCCCACAGTGCTGGGGTAAAAATTATGGACTTGCCCTGATGAAGTTTCTGCCCTGCAGAGAAAACAGAAATGCGGGATAATTAGAGCAAGAGCTGTTTAAAAAGGTCTGTACAAATGCCATGGAAATATTACTTAGCAGCAACATTATTAAAATGCAGATACATGGGAACATTTAGAAAGTATTTATTTACTCTATTTTTCCCACCCTTCCTCCATGGAGTTCTATTTACTTTCCAGTGGGCGGTTGAGCTACTCCACTGCAGCAAAGCCAAGTAAACAAAACCCGACTGTGACATCGTCAAGACCTTTGCTATGGCATAAAACATTTTAGGCTCTTTGAAAGGGCTTCTGGCAGCTTACAAAGATCAGAAGACAAGCCCTGCCTGCTGGCTTCCAGTGTAAAAGGCACCGGAGAAAAGGAAGGACGGGGAGGAAGGAGACCTGATTAGGATGCCACTGGCAGAGCTTTCATCGTGCCTTCACCTGGCCTTGTCCATGGACTTTTGCAGAGTAGGCTGGGGGAGGCAGCTGCCATCAAACTCTTCCATGTTTCCCCACTATTGCTTTCATATCGTTTCTTGCCAGGAAAAACACAATTCTGTTTAGGAGGGAAAGAGCATAGCTGCAGAATGCCTTTTGTACTGGTAACACCAGGACCCCTCCGACTGGAGGCAACCTCACGGCACGATCCTATGCACGTTCAGGCAGAATAAGATGCCCTACAACAGTCTTCATTCTTCGGTCAGTTCCAAAGGTCAGAAGAACAGGAGAAAAGCCTTTCTGGACCAGAACCATGGACCATCTGGTCCAGCACAGTGCACACAGTGGCAAACCAGCTGCCTGCAGGATCCCTCAGGGTGCAAGGCCTGCCCTGCCCAAGCTCCCCAGCGGCTGGTCTCTGCAGGCAGGCCACCCCGGGGAAGGAGGGAGCACATGGCCAGCAGGGCTAGTGGCCACGGAGAGCCTCCTCCCTCATGAATCTGTCCCACTCCCTTTAAAGCCACCCGGATTGGCGGCCATCAGCACTTCCGGTGGCAGCGAATTCCAGCTTCATTATACGCCATGTGAAGAAGTCCTTCCTTTTATCTGTCCTAAACCTCCCGCCCATGAGCTTCATGGGGTGACCCCGGGTTTGAGTGTTATGGGAGAGGGCAGAAAATCCAAGCACCACCTTCAGGCCCTCCAATCAGGAGCAGAACCACTGCAAATCTGTGCTCCCCACTCCCAGCTTGGGCTTCTACCTGCTGAGGCAGGTCAACCAGAGCACGGCCTGAAGGCATATAGGCATCCGGCATGTTGAAGCTAGGCAGGCCCTGGGCTGGCCTGAGCCTGGAGGGGAGACCACCAGGGAACCGCATGTCACCACCTTGAGTTGCACAGTGGGAGAAAAGTGGGACGGAAACATAACAAACAAACAATCCAGCGCTTTGCTGAGCCAAAGAGGAATTGCCCAGGGGCCTTTGCCACTGGTCACCTGCTGAGGTGTGGACCTAGGCAGGTGCTGCCCTTGATGCAGCCTTTTAAAAGAGGCTGACACACCTTCTGCATCACACGGGTCTTCTCAGCTTTCCCCAACCTGGTGCCCTCCAGATGTTTTGAATTCCCAGAATTCTTGACTGTTAGCCATGCAGGCTGGGCTTGGTGGGAATCGAAGCCCAAGATGTTGAGAGCGTATGTGGTTCTGGGAGACCAGCATGGGCCGACTGCTTCAGCATTAACCAGCCTCGCCTAAAACCAGTGGAGGCTGGTGCTTCCAACGTTAGGGCTACATAGCCACTCCAGATTTTACTCCAGACTTTTCAGGAGCTACCTGCACTGCCTGACCCCTTTGAGGGACAGGGTTCAGTGCCATGGATAGTTCCTCTGAAGCTCTGGCAGAAATCCAGAGTGGATATACCACCCTGTTGCTGCTGGAACTACCAACCTACAATGGGTTTAAGTAAAGGTTGGTGAACCTGGGAGTAGCAAGCACCTCTCCAACAGCCCCGGCCTGTCAGTTACCAGGGGGTGTTGCAGCTGTGCGTCAGCGTCATGTACCGAACCCCCAGGTCATAAAACATCCTCAGAGTCGCAAGACTGCTGTCGATGGAGTGTCCCCCTTCGATGCCGATCAAGCAGGCTATCTTGTTGCTCCGCACATCAGCGATCCCTGGATTGGGGAGAGAAAGACAGAGCTAAAGTTTCGTTTCATTTTTACAGCAGGTCAACACAGAACAAGCTTCTGCAAGAACAGACACATTTGCGGTGAGTCAGCCAGGCCAGGCCTGGGCTCGGAGACAAGCCGGAGGAGCAACTTGCTCCCGCTTCAGCTGCGGGACGCCCATGACCTCCACAACGGCCACAGTCTGAACAAGCAGCCCCAGGGGGAAATTTGGGAGGCAGATCTCATGGGGCCTCTGGCAAAAAGTCTCAGGATGGTGAGCTGGCCAGGCCTTTGCAATGCTCCACATTTCACGCCGAGTGAACATGCAGCCTTTTGTGGAGAGCAAGGGAGGTGCAGAAGTGAGAGCGTTGGTCTGGGACTTGGGGGAATGGCCCTCTGCTCCCTGCCTGGCCGTGGGCAAGGCTGGGTCAGTCCCTGGCTCAGAACAGCAGCCCTGTGAGGATGACAGGGAGGCGGGGAGCATTGTGTGTGGCCGCCTGCGCTCTTTGGAGAAAGGTGGGACATGCAAGCGATCGATCAGTTCAGAGCCAAGTTTCCCCAGTTCCCAAAAGCTTTCTCACAGTCCTGGCATTCCTCCAAGCCTAGAGATACCTCCGACTTGTATATGCACAGGGCCACTGCGGCTAATAACAAAGCGCACTTGCGGGAGGGACGCATTCCCTGTTCGTATGCGAGACGGCACGTTGCAGCGTACGAGTCAAGGCACTGATGCTGCACTGCACTTCGTAGCGAGTGTGCAGTTTCTGGTGCACAGAAAGTGAGTGTGCACTCCCTTAGTTCTCCTATTTCCGTCTGATGCCAACTGCATTGTCGAAGACCATGTTACCTTGGGAAGAAGTCACCAGTTCAAATTCTTCATAGGCATTGCACATCCGCTTCACAAGGTCAATTTGTTCCAATGTCAAACGTACAGCATCTTTGTTTTGTGCTCCGCAGAGAACATACACTGACCAGAACTGAAGAGATTGACAAAGTGTACTTTAAAAATTGAATTTCGGACACGCGTGTTATGGGCACAGAACTATATTAAATGCGTATGTTGTTCAACAAGCTGCCTCCATACTGGCCCTGGGTTCCTAGTTTGACTGCACACTTCTTTGGCTTGAGGGCCTTCTTGAGCGAAGGGCACCTGACCGCCACATGTGAACCTGAATCTCCATGAGTCTAATGCAGGATGGACCCAACCCACTCCTGTGTATATTACTGGTGGTTATGCTTTCTCGATCTACAAAAACAAGAGTGGGCACCTTATAATCTTCCTAATGGTTGGGTCTACCAATCCCATAATTTCTCACAAGTTTCTAGTATTATGGGATATGGATGCGTGAGGAATCCATTTTGGAGGTGGGAATCCATCAGATTTCCTGTACTCAGCTCCCTGGATTCTGGCCACTTTGGCTCCAGGTCCTTGTTGAGTTCACACCATGCTTACCAGAAATTGCTTCCATGACTGCTAAGTCTGCTGAGGTCTCTTAGGTGAGGGATATTCTCAAAAGCCTTTTGGAAGTCCAAGAAAACAATATGTACCCCATCAGCCCTATCCACTTGTGAATTTGCACTCTCAAAGAACTCTAAAAAGGGCTTTGTGGAAGCTAAGTTCAGCAGGGCTTGTCTTTTAATATGCTTACTAATTCTTTCTTTAATAACACTTTCAGCTAATTTGCTCAGAACAGATGTTGAGCTAAACAGGCGATAATCCCTTAAATCCCCCAAATCCCTTTTAAAAATTGGTGTTAACTTGGCCATTCTCCAGTCCTCTGATAGCAAAGCTGATCTTAGAGACATATTGCATTTTTGTAAGAAGGTCAGTAATTCCAGATCTGAGCTCTTGAAGAACTCGAGGGTGCATACCATCTGGGCCTGGTGATTGACAGTTCTGTCAATAAGGAAATAATTTCACCTTTTATTACCATACTCCTGAAACTCCCTTCCTGAAAGCATCAGTTCAGGCACTCATATCTGTCCTGAATCTTCTGCAACAAAGACTAGGGAAAATAATGTATTCCCTGAAGCCTCCTCATCTTCCATTAGAACTCTATTACCATCCAAGGGTCTAATGGCCTCTTCAGCTGGTTTCCTGCTTCTGAAATATATGATGAATCCCCATGGCGGACATACTAGTAAACATCAAGTGATAGCAGTACCAATGAAATCCTTTTCGATTCCAGGTTGAAATGCAACAACACGTAGAAAATTTGAGGGGGGGTGTTGCGTGTGGCTGCTTTTCCAAGGTATCGCATATGCGTGGAGAGTTCTCAGAGTAAGACATCCACCTGCACGACGCACAGCATTCTGCAGATGCTAAAACTGCTTATAGTGTGAATCTGTGCGTGTCTGTTGAGAAGCAGGCCCCATGCCATTCACCCGCAGAACTGTAGCACTAGGGAGTTAAGAGCTCATTTCGGCAACCCTTACAAGGTAACAACGGAACTCCCATGTTTGCAGGATCCGCCACTGCAAAAACAGTGTTGCGCCAGCTCGCTACAGCTGTCATTATCCACACGAACAATATGGAGTCCCCATGGGCTCATTTGCATTTTAATGCAAACATTGTCCTTCTGAACCACTGTGCCTACTGAGAGCCTTCCACCTTTCAAAATTCTCACTTCTCCAAATTTTGCCCTGGATTTCTTTATTTTAAAAAAATGTATTGGAAAATGTGCATGGTAAGGAAAAGAACATTCAGAAATGCATTCTACTGAGACAATTAATTGCAAAAATTAGTAGGCTAAGCAAAAATGCATACAAGTTAGATGTGTTCGCAGCAACGAGCAGAAAAGTGCTGATGATTTTTTTGTGCCGACTTCTTTTCAAAAGATTCTCAAAGTTTGGGGTAGCCCAAATGAAGGACTGGAGAAATCCTCAGTGTTTGAGACAAGAGGGGAAAAGGAAATGGAATTTGACCATCGCATCCCCTTTTGATGCTTCGCCAGAGAGCATTCTGGGGAAAGAAGATGGTGGCTGCTGCAGGCATGTCACCTGGAGCTCCTTTTTTCCTCTTCGTGCTGAGCGATGTGCTGCCAGCCACCCACATCTGACCACAGCACCCCCTCTGCCCCCCATAAGTTTAACTGGGGGAGGGCATCAGGATGGCACTGGGCCAGGGCCCCTAGTGCCTATGCTACTCACCTGAGCACCCACATGGCCTGCCTGGAGCTTCCGGATGTTCGTGTGTGTTGTGTTGAGTGTCCGCAAGTTGATGCTGCTCAGTCTGTTTTTGTACAGCCATCTGAGCTTTAGCGGCAGATCGTTGTGCCTGGTGGAGGAAGGCAGGGCATGATCACTGCGGCTGGGCACCCCTGCGGCTGGGCACCCCTGCATCGTGTCTCCTTGTTTCTCCCTTCCACATGGCAACCAGCCCCCCCAACTTGCTCAGCTTCAGCACAGAGTGTGCTGCGTAGGGATACCACTCTGTGGTCAACACATATCAGACTCACACAACAGGGAGGGCCCTTGTGGGCCATTGGGTCCAACCGCCTGCTCAGTGCCGGAGGCCGTCTCCCATCCAGCTTTCAACCCAGCCTGACCCTGCTTAGCTTACAAGATTATGCAGGATCAGGCACCTTGGGCTATACTGAAGCTCATGTGGAGGGCATCTGGTTAGGAAAGGCTGATGTAGAAAGCAGTTTTCATTCTGGGAACCTCTCCTGCACCTCATTTAAAACAAATGTTCGCACATCACCGGAAAGTCTTCAAAGCTCAGTCTTTCCCTTAGGGAAGGCTTGGGAATGTACAGGCCACTCGGGATTTGTTCCTGCTGCCCCATGCATGTTTCTGCAAATTACTAGTGAACTGGAAGCAAGGCACACATGGACTTGGTGCCAGTACTATTTTATTTTATTTTATTTTATTTTATTTTATTTTATTTTATTTTGCTTTATCACTTTACAGTTTATTTTTTATTTCATTTTATTTTATTACTTTACCTTACTTTACATTTATTTATTTATTTATTTATTTATTTACTTTACTTTACTTTACATTTTATTTTGTTTTATTAGCAGGCATGCTAATAACAGTCTTTGCCATCTCTTCTTAGACTTTTCCTGTTCTTTCAGCTACAATTGTCACAATAGCTGGAAGGAAACACATTTGCCAAGAATCATCACCGTGTTTCCTTCTGAATGCATTTGGGATGACCTGGCCTTGAATGGGCAATTGTTGCACTGCCATTCCAGAAAAGCTTTTTGGTAAACGATCAAAAGGGCTAGAAGGGGGTTTGGCTATGAGGCCATGCAGCAGACTCAATGTCTGGTCCCTCATCACGAGGCGACCGCTTCAAAATGTACCACTATGTGACTGAAAATAGACTCACCTGCATTCATTTCTTCTCAGGGTTTATTTTGAATTTTGTGGGGAGGAAAATTTGAAATCTTTTATACAAGAAAAGAACACAAACAAGAGTAAATATTGGACTCAAGTATAAAATAAAGATTAAAATAATCTCTGTCTCTCTTGCTCTTTATGTAAAGAGTCTTAGGGAGAAATTCTATGCATGATTAGACAGAGAAAAGTCCTAATATTGACAGCATTTCCTGGCCAACCTATGGCACTTTTCTAAAAGTGCTAGAGATGGGCACCCCAGGAGTCTTGCCCATTGGTCTGGTCCTGACATTAAGCTACTTCTGCAGTGGACAGAAAGCTGGATTTTAATACACCATTCGTCCAAGAAGTATTGCTTACTAGAAAAAGCTGCAGGTGTGACTTCTTCATTTCTCTCCTGAGAGCCTGAGCATGCGAGCTGTGATACACGATGGTGAGGCTCGCCATAGCCCGGGGAAAGCGGCGGCACAAAAGGCTGGGGAAGCGAGTAGGCATGGGGGGCTGTTCTTAGCAGCTTCCCATATGGGGAGCAGAGTGCCTCTCAGGCCGACCAGGGGCAACCACAACGCCTGCAGCGAATTCCTTCTAGAAATGAGGCAGAGCAACTTCCCCAGTGAAAGCTTTAAGCATTTTCGGGCTACTGAAGGCAGAATGTCCCGACAGAGGAAGACTGCCTGCCTGTCCACCAACTCTGTATTTTTCCCTTGGTATTCAGCTCAGTACCTGCCACTGGCATAGTAAATCAAAAGCAGAACAAGACAAGACCAGACCAGACCTTATCTTTGAAAACAAGAAAGTGCACATACCCATCAATTAACGGGGCTTGCATCATCAGGTCCAGGGCCTTCTGCCTCAAGGATGCCTTGGTTCCAGAGCAGAAGATATTGGCTAGCAGCACCAACCATAGAAGCTTCCGCAGCCGATCTCTCTTTGAGCCCTCCAGCATCTTTGCTGAGCGGGGCTGTGTCGTGGCTAAGAAAGGCCACAGATTGCTCTCAGATGTGCAGAGGGTTCCACAGGCTAAGATCCAAAGACAGAGGATCCAAGACACTGCTTTTCTTGGCCTCCTGCTAAACAAAGAGGAGAAGAGAATTAATGGGAGAAGAAAACTTGGCCATCACAGCATTGCAAGAAATCTTAACTGTATGGGACTCGGGCTGAAATTGATTCATAGCTCTTGCTTTCCAACCCACAAGGGGAATCAATGCTCACTCCCACTTTAAGGAAATTCAGGACTTACTTGATGAGAGCCATGACCCTTTCCTGGAAGGTCTGTTCTAGAAAACTTGGTATAAACACCCGAACAAGAAAAGGAATCAGCAGGATGTCAGGAGCAGAATCCACCCCCACACCACCCTCCACCCACATGCATGATGTTTGGAGAGGATATTTTCCCAGATGCGTTTTCTCAGGGTTGAGTGCTTCTGGGGAAGGTTGAAGAAGAAGGTTGAAGTCTGTCGCTAATGCATTTCTCACCAGTGCTCATAAAGATGGGCAGGAAACTGGAATCATTCCCCAGACAGCTGTCATCATCTGTGCCTGGTCAAAAGGGTGGGGGACCCACATCTGATAAGTTAGCTGTCTAGATGAGACACAGATTTGAACCTGCAAGCCCCACTGAGCTCAGTGCGATTACTTCTGAGTAGACATATTTAGTGTTATAGATCCTCACCCTATTCCCCCGTTTTAGGTTGATGAGGCAGACACATGGCAGTCCTTGCTGAGTGTCACTTTGGGCTTTTGTTGGCTGCTGTTCCATCATTTATTTTGCTTATTTTACCTGTACTGAAAGCAGCACTTCAATAGCCGTCCCAGTTGAGATCATGGGGAAGTGGGGAGCTTTACGTCCCCCCTTCCTCAGAAACAAGGAAACATCTGAAATTCCTGCTTTTGCATTGCTAACGGTAGTGGGAAAGCAGGAGTCCCTGCTGGACTGACTGAATCAGGCGGCTTTTGCGGCTTTTCCTCCCGCAGTCCAGTCTGTGCACGCGTGCAATCAGTCCAGCACTCTAATGATGGTTTATTTGATTAGGGTTAAAATAATGCAGAACACTGAAACTGCATTTATTAAAACTGGCCCGTATCCTAATGCCATTAGCTCATTGGAGCCCGTCACCAAACTCGAAAGCTTCAACTTGATCCTTTGCTATTTTGCTACTGGCGAGAGAGAACAAATGAGAAAAGCTTCCCAGAAACTGATTGCAGTGCCACTGGAACCTGAGGATGAGGGCAAATGTATCTCACGAGGAGTAAGTATTAGCAAAGCAATAACTGTAATTTGTAAAGCAAGGTTGAAATTATTATTGTTATTATTATGTTGTTGTTGCTTCTTATGCCTGCTGCTGCTGTTAAATTTGTTTGCCACCCCATACCCCACAGGGGACTGAAATGTTGGGGGAACGGGTTCTTTGATGGTATATTTGTTGCAAACTGCCCAGAGAGCTTTGGCTAAGGGTGGTACAGAAATGAAGTAAATGGCATGACAGAGACTTTGACCTTCCTCTCCGTGACAGCCTTTGAGGGACTTCTAGAGGGATATCATGTCCCCCCTCAGTCTCCTCTTCTCAAGGCTGAACATGCCCAGTTCTTTCAGTCTCTCCTCACAGGGCAGTGTCTCCAAACCCTGGGTCATTTCTGTTGCCCTCCTCTAAGTTAGTTACATTCCTGTTCTTTTTTCCTATAAGATGCCTACATCTTACCCTTATTCCTACTACAAGGCAGCTTCCAAGAGCACTCTGCTCTTATGCAAATAAGAGGCCTGTGCAAATGGGACAGCATACCAAGTTGTCCAAATAAATAAATACTCTCTCGCTCACAAGACCCTGTGAAGTAGGTCAGGGAGAGAGCCAGTGACTAGATCAGCGTCTTTCAAAAAGCTTCATAAAAGTTCTCCCCAGTCCAGTGGGCTAACCAACTGGACACACTGGTTGTGTGAATGGGGTAGAAGACAGGTTCATTCAGACCACTTTGCTTTAAAAAGAACTGTCCCTACCAGAGAGGAAGAAGAGAACTGTTAGAGCTGGTTTGCTGATACAAAGCGATACAGTGGGTTTGGCTTTTCCTTGGGGATGCACCAGTGTGGCCCATTGTGCTGAGCACTTGCCAGCTCTGAAGCCCTTTGAGCTCCCCCACTGTGGCTGCTATTTGCATAACAAGAGTGTGCAGTTTAATTGCATCCCTTCCTCAGGGGCAGCTGCTGAAAACCTGCCGGGCCGCCACATGTCAGGGGAGGCTGGTGACTATGTGAGTGGAGATGCTGACACACTACAGCTTTTCATAGCAGCTGCTCCTGGTGATGAATCTCTTTTGAGGGTCAATAGCTACTCCAAAGCTCAAGATAAAAGCTGCAATGAATGAGGAGACCCACAGATACAGAGGAAGGTCCGACATTCTTTGCTGCAAGGCCTGGACAATACCAGGCTAGATGACCAACGGCTCTTAACCTGCCACTTTACTAAGGGTTCTGCCTCAGGTTCCTTTATGGGACTAAGATGGTGCCTTTTCTGCTATTTTAATTCCTCCACTTTATTATTGGTTTGCTGCAAGGCCACAAGGCGGCGCTGCAGAATACTGGCATTATCCCAGTACACAAGAACCTAATTCGGTTCCATTCTGTTACAAAGAACAGGAGGCCCTGGAGAAGATTAAAACTACCTTGACTGAAGAATCATGAGCCCACAGTGGAAGGCTGTGTGCATCAGCACCAGCCTGCGTGTTGGTGCACCTGCTGTTCAGTTGCAGCAGGCGGACAGCAGCGCATGCGGGGCAAAAATCCCAGCTTCAAGTATATGCTGATGGGAACTGAGCTAGCAGTGACTGAGCGAGAAAGGAATCTTGGGGTCGTGGAGGGCAGCTCAGTGACAATGGCAGAGAGTGCCTTGTTGCTCTGTATTCTGTAACAGAATAAAAAACAGAACTGCTAGGCCACTCAGGTATGACCTGAATCATATTCCTGATGAATATACAGTGGAGGTGACAAATACATTTAAGGATTAGATTTGATAGACAGAGTGCCTGAAGAACTATGGACGGAGGTTTGAAACATTGTACAAGAGGTAGCAACTAAAACCATTCCTAAGAAAAAGAAATGCAAGAAAGCAAAATAGCTGTCCGAGGAAGCTCTACAAATAGCTGAGGAAAGAAGGGAAGCAAAAGGCAAGGGAGAAAGGAAAAAATACACCCAATTGACTGCAGAATTCCAGAGAATAGCTAGAAGAGATAAGAATGCCTTCTTAAATGAACAGTGCAAAGAAATAGAAGAAAACAATAGAATAGGGAGGACCAGAGATCTCTTCAGGAAAATTGGAGATATGAAGGGAACGTTTCATGCAAAGATGGGCATGATAAAGGACCAAAATGGCAGAAGAGATTAAGAAGAGGTGGCAAGATTACACAGAGGAACTATACAAGAAAGAGCTTAACATCCCAGATAACCACGATGG